AGACTTAAATGTAAGACCTGAAACCATGAGAACCCTAGAAGAAAACCTAGCCAATAACATTCAGGATATACGCATGAACAAAGACTTCATGACTAAGATACCAAAAGCAATGGCAACAAAAGCCAAAATTGACAAATGGGATCTAATTAAAGAGCTTCTGCACAGCAAAAGAAACTGCCATCAGAGTGAACAAGCAACCTACAGAATGGGAGAAAAATTTTGCAATGTATCCGTCTGACAAAGGGTTAATATCCAGAATCTACAAAGAACTTCAACAAATTTACAAGAAAAAACAACCCCATCGAAAAGTGGGCAAAGGATATAAACAGACACTTCTCAAAAGAAGACATTTATGCAGCCAACAATCCCATGAAAAAAAGCTCATGATCACTGGTCATTAGAGAAATACAAATCAAAACCCCAGTGAGATACCATCTCATACCAGTTAGAATGGCGATCATTAAAGTCAAGAAACAACAGATGCTGGACCTCTCCAGAGAAATAGGAAAGTTTTTACACTGTTGGTGGGAGTGTAAAGTAGTTTAACCACTGCGGAAGACAGTGTGGTGATTCCTCAAGGATCTAGAACTGGAAATACCATTTGACCCAATAATCCCATTACTGGGTATATACCCAAACGATTATAAATCATTCTACTATAAAGACACACACATGCGTATGTTTATTGCAGCTCTATTCACAATCACAAAGACTTGGAACCAACCCAAATGCCCATCAATGATAGACTGGATAAAGAATATGTGGCACATATACACCATTGAATACTATGCAGCCATAAAAAAGGATGAATTCACGTTCTTTGCAGGGACATGGATGAAGCTGAAAACCATCATTCTCAGCAAACTAACACAAGAACAGAAAACCAAACACCCCGTGTTCTGACCCATAAGTGGGAGTTGAACGATGAGAACACATGGACACAGGGAGGGGAACATCACATACCGGGGCCTGTCAGGAGGTGGAGGGTTAGGGGAGGGATAGCATTAGGAGAAATACCTAATGTAGATGACAGGTTGATGGGTACAGCAAACCACCATGGCACATGTATAGTAACAGACCCGCACATTCTGCACATGTACCCCCAGAACTTAAAAGAAAATTAAAAAACAACAATCAAAGGGCACACCTACATAAGCATTTTATACTAAACTGTTAATGACTACTTTGGACTATCTAAATTTAGAAAAAGACTTCATCCGTTTGAAAAGAGTTTAACTCTCATTTACCTGTTTGAATCTCTGATTGCTTGAACATATCTCACCCCACAAATGTTACCAAAGTCACCATCTGGCTCTCTTTCTTATTTCATGGGCCTTGGTTCTGAAAACACAAGGACCCCCTCACACAGACACCCATTAAAGTAACCCTGTAAAACAAAATTTGACTTCCCTTTGATATGCTTGGTTTGATTTTGGCAGGTTTATTTTTTGGGGGGCGGTGTATTTAAGTATACTTTTCAGTTTCCTGATAATGAGTAAAGAGAAAAAAGGAGTAGAACACTTTGGGATAGAGAACCAAATTTCCAATATGAAATGTGTTAATTTTTAAGTGGATTTCCGTAGGTGTCTTGGAACATCAGTCAAGCCATTGATATGTGGTAAATAACCTGTGGTGGGTGGAAATGAGTCTAATAATTCAATATCGGAACTTTACCCAAGAAAAACGCCCTACAGTGAGGTCACTCCAATTGGAAATTGTTTGTGTCCATCTCTCCATCCATCCATCTTTTCAATAATTTTCCATCTACCTTTCAATAATTTTGACGGTTGACTCTGTGCCAGGTGCTGTTTTAGATTCCTGTTCTAATGGAACTCGTATTCCGTAGACAGAAGACAGAGTCAACAACCAAACAAACAAAAAATAAATCAATCAATAAGCGAGAACATCAGTTAGTGTTAAGTGCTATGAGGAAAACAAATCACGGTGCTGTGATAGAATATAATGGGGAAGTATGGGGCAAGGGCATTAAAGCAGGTGGTCAGGGAAGGCCTCCCCGAGGTGGTGACATTTCAAGCAAGCTGCGAATAAAAAGAATAAAATCAAGTCCTGCCTAGTGAGCAAACAGCCAGTGTGAGAGCCCAGAGGCAAGAACGAGCCTGGCCTGGTTCAAGATTCAGCAAGTGAGTCAAAGGAGAATAGTTTAAGAAGAAAAGACTTCTTGAAATTACTGGTATGTCAATGGAGAACAGAAATGAATACGGATCTGATATCTTTTGATACTGGAAGCCAGTCCCGTATTATCAACAGCGAAGTCATACGTAACTTCTGCTTGCTGATGATCTCAATGGCTTTGTGTGTGTTTCACTGCAAACTTGCTTCCCCCCAACCAGCTCCCCCAGTTGAATCCAGTCTGATTCAGTAACTGACTCCTCTTTGCTGAGCTGTGTGAAATTAGGCACTTGGTAAACCGGCATTAAGGTTTTTGCCGGAACAGCCCAAAACATTCTGTGCAAACATTTCCCGAGGCACCTCTTCCCCGCTGGAAGTAATGGGTGACTATTTGCAAACTGCTTAGCCGGTCTAACCACTGTCAACCCACCCTTATTAGCTGCAGCCGGAACAAAGGCACCCTTCTGGAAGCCTTTGTTGGTTAAAAAAATAAAAATGGTTTTCTTTGCACATGCTTTAACTCCCATTTGTATGTGCATCAGGAATATGTAATGAATAAAATGAAATATGGAAGATACTGTCATAGTACATCCAAATCAAACATTTGCTAAAACAATTGTATTAGAAAATAGCCATTGCCTGTAAAATTCTGGAATGAGTGAAAACTCTTTTTATTTTGTTTCCTTTTAAGTGTGCTTATAATTTCAGTGAAGGACATCTTTTCCCAATACTTCTTATTTTACCCACCCAGTTTTGGACAGAATTTTACTAAACTCAGTGTCTCCTAACACATAACAGTCTTTTTATTTGTCCTTAATAAACCTCAAAGGTTCACCCTCCTGTCTGGATTAATTTTGCTATTGATTCATTTTCTTTGGATCATAAAACAAGCGTACCACATGTTAGATACACTGGAATTACTTTTTTTTTTTTTTTTTTAAATTAACTACTCATGGTTAAGCCAAGCAGAGTTATACATAAAGAGTTAAGAGAGCCACTTAAAATTAAATGATCCTACGTGATAATAAATTTTGCTTTTCGGAATAAAGCAATTTTCTCCTCGTTGCAGTCTTACTAATACAACACAGCGTCTGCAATAATAACTCTATTTCAGACATCCCAAGTTCTCCCACTTCTTTAGCTCACTAATTTCTTACATGATGCCCCTGGTTTTACAAGTATTTTTAATAGACTGATGTTCCAGATTCTTCTATACAGTCAAATCCTTTCATAATCAGAGACTTGTTTTTCCGCAGGAATTTAATTCCCTCTGCAGAATTGTAACATGGGTTGGACTGATCTAGTTTACATTTTCTGACATGTTTTCCCTCCCCTGAAGATTAACTTAACTATCGCTTGGCTCCTTCTCAATTCTTTTCATCTCATTTTCACTTAAAAATATTCTGATTTTATTCGGTAGGCTATCTTGTACTGTTTTCTGAAGATAGGGATTTTAGCTCTGAGAACATGGTTTTCTGCTGCCAAGTGTTTCTCCCTTGAATTCCAGATGATGCCTAGATTGTTTGAAACTAACACAATGTGTCCAAAATTTACAAAAAAAAATAATAATAAATTCAGCTTAGTGAGCTGAATATCTCTTTTAAGATAAGTCACTTGGTCAATTTAATAAAATTTTGTCCAAAAGAATCCGCTCTATCAGCCATTTATCATTAAGTAAATAAAGCATTGAGTTAGGTAAGAACATTTAAAAGTATATTTTTAAAATCTACTCAGAATGCACTTAACCCCTGCTGTGATTAAATGTTTATGTCCCCCCCCGAAAATTTATATGCTAAAACCTAACCCCCAATGCAATAGTATTGAGACGTGGAGACTTTGGGAAGTGTAAGGTTAGCGGGGCTCTATCTAAATGGATGGGATTAGCGCCCTCATAAAAGAGGTTGAGGCCAGGTGCAGTGGCTCACGCCTGTAATCCCAGCACTTCGGGAAGCCGAGGCAGGCAGATCATCTGAGGTCAGGGGTTCAAGACCAGCCTGACCAACATGCATAAACTCCATCTCTACTAAAAATACAAAAATAGCCGGGTGTAGTGGCGCATGCCTGTAATCCCAGCTACTTAGGAGGCTGAGGCAGGAGAATTGCCTGAACTCAGGAGGCGGAGGTTGCAGTGAGCCAAGATCATGCCATTGCACTCCAGCCCGGGTGATGGAGTGAAGCTCCGTTTCAGAAAAAAAAAAAAAAAGAGGTTGAAGGATGCTGCCACGCCCCTTCCACCATGTGAGGTCACAGAAATTTCCATCTATGGGGAAGAGGCCCTCACCAGACACCAAATCTGCCGCGACCTGATTCCCAACAGAGGGGTCCCAGCCTCTAGAACTCTAAGAAACAAATTTCTATTGTTTATAAATTACACGGTTTAAGGTAATTTGTTCTAGCAGTCTGAACAGACTAAGACAACTCCCTCTTTAGACAATTAAATCTTCATAATTCCTCAGAACTTAGCTTAAAAATCTCCTCTTCAGAGATACATTCCCTGGCTGTTCCCCGCTCCCTTTCTCTCTTCCTTCCTCCTTCAGGGAGCTAATTTGCAACTTGCAATTGCTTTTTTTTGTTGTTATTTGGTCTGTCTTTGCCACTATTTTATATTCCTTGAGTCTGTAACATAAGGGTCATAATGCTCACTGCACCTAGTCCAGTGCCTGATGCAAAGCAGGTACTTAATAAATGTATGGTAAATGAATTTTAAAATACACATCCCAGAGAGGTTAATTTTTCTCCTCAATTCTCCGGCCTGGCCTCCTCCATGAATGGAATTAGCCAGTTACCAGTATGATCTCATTATTTTACTTTGAATCTGAGTTGAATTATGACTGCTATGTCTTTGCCATTTTAGAAGACGTTGTTCTCACCTCTCTGGCCAGCTGTGTCCAAAAATATTCCCTCCCAGGAGAAGGACTCCACCAAAACTCCACCAATCCAGGGATCCTGGGTCCGTCCTCCCTTGTGTTCTGGCTCTTGTGCATGGCACTTTGAACAAACATTTCTCAGGATGTGTTATCCTTGCAGAGGAGGCCATCCACACAAGAGGACTTCGGGTGAAATTCCCCTCCGTGATTTTCAGGCCTATGCTTTTAAGGCAATCTGCAGAGAGCACGAGGGTCAAATTGACTGCTCCGCAACTCAGCTGTCTCCAATTCCCCAAGACACTGTGGAGAAGTCATTTCACCTTTTTGGCACTTGGCTCTTAAATTGCCAGAATGAGAGGATTTGATGCAATAAACACTACGGTTGCTCTTGCTTTTGCAATGACTTCCATTACATGGAGGGACTGCATTTCTTTCCCAGGTAAGAATCAGTCCTTGTTCTGGTGCCTGGGGGAGGCTCTACTTCTGAGCAGGGGGAGCAGTGAAAGCGCATCATTCAATGGTGATGAGCACCAGGTCTGAGGCTCCTGAACATTTCCTGTCTATTTATAGAGAATCTGGGATTCTGTCCAGCAGGCCTGCCGATTGCATCAACCAAATAATAAATTCGTTTGAGAAATCCGTTACGCATTGATTCCATGAGCTTGGGTTCCCAGCTTGCCAGCGTGGCCTGGCTTTACTAGGGGATCAACCATCCCAGTTTGCCTGGGACCAAGGGGATGTCCCAGAACTTGGGAATTTCAGTACTAAAACTAGGACAGTCCCAAGCAAACTGGACAAGTGGTGACTCTATTTGTCTGTAATAATTCCGATTACAATAGCAACAGCCATCATCGTCAGCATTATTATAACAATGACTTGTTAAGTGCTTAGCACCTGCTACATTTTATTAGGACTTTGCTAGTATCACCTGATCTTCAGAACAACCCTGATGATATCAGATTCCCTCCATTCCACAGATGGAAACTGACTCTCGGAAAGGTTACGTGCTTATTTGAAAGTTTCTTGGCTAATAAGGAGCATACTTAGGATTCCAAACCTGACCAACGTGAACTTAAACCCTGTGTCAAAATTGGAAATTTGGTCACTGACTGGGCATTTGATGACATCAAGGACTCATCATTAACTGTTTTCTAGGTGTGCTAATGCTGTTATGGTTATTATTTCTTTTTATGTCTTTCTCTTTTTTTTTTTTTTGAGATGGAGTTTGGCTGTTGTCACCCAGGCTGGAGTATAATGGCATGATCTCGGCTCACTGCAAGCTCCGCCTCCTGGGTTCAAGCGATTCTCCTGCCTCAGCCTCCAGAGTACCTGGGATTACAGGCACCTGCCACCACGCCCAGCTAATTTTTTGTATTTTTAGTAGTGGCGGGGTTTCACCGTGTTGGTCAGGTTGGTCTCGAACTCCAGACCTCAGGTGATCCATCTGCCTCGGCCTCCCAAAGTGTTGGGATTACAGGCGTGAGCCACTGCACCTGGCCTAAGTCTTCGTCTTTTAGGGGCACATTTAGGAACATTTACTGATGGGAAAAGACATCAAACCCATGTCAATAAGTCATCAGGCTCAAAGCCGTCCCTCAATGCAATCCCTGGGGTCACAATAGTGTAGAAAGAGCCAACACTGGGGGCCTGGGCTAGATCTGCCCCTCACCAGCCAAGTGAGCAGGTATCTATTCTCCAATTTGCCTGGGTTTAGACAAACTCTTCATCATGATAATTAAAAAAATTTTTTTGTAAGAAAAGCCTTGATATTTAAACTTCTGTGTGTGTGTGTGTGTGTGTGTGTGGTTGGTTATGAGTGGAACCCTTTCTTCAAATGAAATATGCTACAAACGCTTAATTCATAAAACCTTTAAAATGAGTTATTCTGGTGTAAGGGAGAACCAAGAATCCTCCAAACAGCATCCTTTGGAAACCCATATACCACCTCGGCCTGCAGAAACCTAACAATATTAGAAACATTTAGTCAGTGTGATAAGTCTGGTTCTGTCAGGCGGGACTGGCAAACTTCTCCTGTCAAGGGCCAAGTTAAAAATGTTATAGGCTTTGTGGGTCGTACGATCAATGTCGCAACTACTTAAATCTGCCCTCCCAGCATGAAAACAGCCATGGACAAATGTAAAATAATCGATGTGGCCATGTTCCAATAAAACTTTATTTATAGACACAAATTTGAATTTCATCTACTTTTTGTGTGTCACAAAATATTCTCTTTCCCCTCAAAATTTAAAACGATTCTCAGCTAACAAGTATATAAAAACAGGCTCAATGTGGCCCCTGGGCTGTCATTTGCCGAGCCCTGCTATAAAGATGGTCGGGCTCCTGGTTTCGATTTTTTTTTTTTTTTTTTTTTTTTTTCCCCTGAGATGGAGTCTTGCTCTGTCACCCAGGCTGGAGTGCAGTGGCACCATCTCAGCTCACTGCAACCTCCGCCTCCTGGGTTCAAGCAATTCTCCTGCCTCAGCCTCCCAGGTAGCTGGGATTACAGGCTCTCACTACCACGCCCGGCTAGTTTTTGTATTTTTAGTAGAGACAGGGTTTTACACCATGTTAGCCAGGCTGGCCTTCAACTCCTGACCTCAGGTGATCCGCCCACCTCAGGCTTCCAAAGTGCTGGGATTACAGGCATGAGCCACCGTGCCCAGCCTTGGTTTCGATGTTTGCCCCTGTGAGTTACTATCTGCACATTTGAGGGAACATTATTTAAGTCCTCAAGCCTCAGTTCCCTGGTTGTGAAAGGGGTGTAAATGTAAAACGTACAGGCAGCAGAGATATACGGGAACTCCGTACTTTCCACTCCGTTTCTCTGTGAACCTAAAACTGCTCCAAAACATAAAGTCTGTTTAAGAAGAAAGAAATTCCCACTTAAATAAAATCCACTTCATGAGTTTATTGTGCAGATTAAATAAGACAGGAAAACACCTCAGCACATGGTGGTCACCCTCAGCTCTAATTATGCAGTCCTCCTGGAAACCCGTACATTGCCCTTCTTGACCTTCAAATAGCTGTGACCTCTGCAAGGCACAGCCCTGAAGCAATGACCCTTAGAACTTGGATCCCAGGTCTGTTTTGGCAGAAGGGACTAACCTACAGTCAGCATGGATCAGACTCACAAATGTATGCCTGTTCCCTCGGCCCCCAGCCTCCACCCCACCGTCATGGCCTGTTATTGGCTGAGCTCCCGGGCCTTTTCCCTGGGCTAAAGTATTGTTTGCTTTTCTTCTGCAGCTTTTTCCAGAGCTATGAGCAATGTTCACTTAAATAACCTTATCACTCTTACCTTCAACTCCTCCCCTAGCTTCCCCATTTGAGCAGTGTGATTTCTACATAATCCCTTAGGCAGTTCCTGTGGCCTCCCTTCTCCAACTTTAGTGTAAGTGCTGCCTAAGCGAAGCTAGCACACGGCCTCTCTTTCCTAAGGGCCTCCTGGGCAGGTGTGGGTGTGTGCTCGGGTGAGGGTGCGAGTGGTCACACACACATCTGATAACGTTTTTCTACTCCTTTCTTCATCTTGGGCTCCACGGAGCTCCCTCATTTCCTTGCATCTCTTTGTCCTTGACTTTGAAACACTGAACACCTGCTATTTCTTGGGGGACATTTCGAGCTTAATCGTCTCTAGCTCCTTCCTGTCTGCGAGGCCTGGGATTTGGGCTATGACACCTCCTGTCCTGAGGCTCGTGTTAGTTATTTTGGATCTTTTTGTATTGCAATCACCTAAAGAATACTAGGGGTTCCTTTCCTTCCTTATTTTCTCCTCCAGCCCCTACCTAAATTAGTTGCTACAGGGCTGGCTTTGTGGGTTCTGAATTCATGCCCATGCAGTTGTCCCCAATCACAGTCCCTTCCTGATGTTACTGGGGCATCTGTAAAATGCCTCAGCAAATATTTTTTTTTTTTTTAACTCTTTACATGCTCTTTTTCTTATTGTTTAAAAGTAAAATGCGTCATGCACATTTACATTGTCAAAGTAATTCATATGCCTTATTAAAAGTGTGTAGAAGCTGAACAAAGAGAAAAATAATCAAGCATATTATTATTCAACATTTTTGAATATTTTTCTACTGAAAATCTTTGACATATTCCTGTGGTTAGATCATTCTCTCCCTGCCTCTTTCTCTCTCTACATTTATATATATGTAGTAGTGTATGCTGATAGAGTTATTTAACACAGTAGCATCAATATTTTTGTTATTACTCTCCTAGTGAGCATCTCTCTATGACTTCATATTATTCCATCCAAGGATCCTCTTACATTTTAATCATTTCCATTTTATTAAACATTTGTTTCCAATTTTTACCATTATAAATACTCCACGCAGCATCTTTGTGAACACATGATTTTTATTATATCTTAAATTACTCATTTATGGTTGATTGCTACAGGTGGAATGACTTGAGGACCATCTTAGAGATAGTTAGATATTCTTTAAGGAAAAGGTATTGTCAGAGCCTGTGTTGCATGATATGGCTGCTACTATTGACTTTCTGCTGCTTCTAACTGGTCTGGAATCTCGGTTCCTGGATTACTCTCCCAGAGAGAATAATCCTCAAGAAACTCTCTACTCAGTTTGTCACCTTTACACCAAACCATGCCCTTCCCTTTGCTTTAGTGAACTTGGCTGCAAACTACACCAGATGAATTCTATGCACCAACCTTTTGTTTCAGAACATAAATACCAGCTCAACCATTGATCATTTTGCCTGACCTTTCTGAGTTCGTCAACTTGTCTCTGATATATAGCAAAGCCTAACTTCTTTGTTTTAAGAAAAATTCCAGGAGTCGAATCCCCAGATCAACACATTCATGAGTGTGGTGCAAAGTAAAGCTGTAATATTTCACTGCTAAAACCTTCAGGAGAGCAAGCAATCACTGTGGCTCCTTGCCTACCACTGTTCACCGGTGCAGTTTTATGTCTCCTGAAAATGCCTTCTTTCTAAACGCACCAAGGGCTAAATTGTCTCCTGGCTTCCTGTATCCAATTGGGTAACTGATGCATATACACCCTCCTCAAATGCACCCTAGCTGACACACACGTTGGACTGACTTCTGAAAAAGCTTTGGTTAACTTCAGTCCAGGAATGTATAGCTTTTGCCTTTTCTGTGAAATCGTATCCAACGGCTGGCGGGACCTGTCATGGTCCCTCTGTG